CACGGACACCACACGTATGAACACAAATCCATTATACTCATGGAATTGCATAGATTTTAAGATCGAATAATGACAGTAAAAGATGCCCTTGCGCTTGCATGTGTGAATCCTGGATCCATCAGTGCAAGTTGTACCTGTCATGGAGCTGCAAATCGGAAAGGCATTACAGTGTCTGGCACTTAACTGTGCCAAATACATGTAATTCTTACTTAATATACTTATACTCTTTGACCAAACAGACGACAGCCAAAGTCATCGACTTTCCTTTGACCGCGAGCTTGCTCAGAATGTCGGCGGTGCAGCATTCCCCACTCCTTATCAGACGGGCCAATGTCACGTTGAAGCCTGTCGGTTAATTCCAGCACTTTGCAGCCCAGCGGACCCTGATAATGAACTCGGTCCTCACCTCCAATGGCGACGAAGTATCAAAAGCCCTTGCGGGTGCCCTGACAGAGGATTGTCTTCTGCAACATGTCATATTCTATGACACATTCGGTGTGAACGAGCTTCCCACGGGAACAGGTGTGTTCGTTGACCTGCCGTCAACAATGGCATTTAAATGTGGTTCCCAGCCAGCAGCCGACTTCAATCTGCTTAGCCCTTTCTAACTGAAATGCACTGAATTTTCTTTTCTTTTTTGCCAAGATGGCTGGTTTAAAGCTGCTGTTGTTGCCCTTAAAAGCATAAGCATGACAACCTGGGAATTGCCTTGTTCCTTCTTCCCTTGGAACCCCACAGCTTCCCAGGAGAGAGAAGTGCAAACTTAAAATCAAGCAAGAAGAGCAAGGATGACATACTCGCCGAGGGACGCAAGCAGCGGGATGCCTGGGACCGGGATTTTGTTGCAGAGGTTAATAAAGTCATGGAGGAAGTTGTCCAACACAACTTCAATGAGAGGTTCTGCCGGGTAAGGCCCCTAACAGCAGCACAACGTGTCACTACATACTCATGAAGCACTGACTTGCTTGCAGGCCACAATCAAGGCATCGAACCTGCCTCTGTCCATCATCCATGTTAAATAGTTGTGGGCTGACTCTACTGTGTTAGCGGTTTATGATCCTGAGTTCAATTCCCGGGGAGATTTCCCAAGTTCGGGGGAACGAGGGTAAGCTAGCTGCTGAGATGTGGAGTTGATATCAAAGTTGATTGGTCAGGTTCGCACGCTGGATAGGTGGTGATTTCTGAACCCTCCGTCTCTTCGGATGTCCAGGTGAATGGATGAGGAAGGGCCCCCCGGGCATCCCTCCAGCTGCTAAACTATTATTCCAACAGACTATATGAATTTGGCCCATATGCTGCATTTGCAGGGATCCGGCCAGACCCCTGCCACGGCCCCAGCCGTCATGATGGGTGCGATGAACAGTGGTGCCACCAAAGCAGCAGCAGGTACGCGGGGTATGGGTTATGACATGATGTATTATGACATGTCATTGTGGATGTATCCATGGCACATGTCATGCAGTTGCTTGTAGGTTCCTGAACATTGCAGGGCACCAGTATCATGCATTTTGGGCCTTACATATGCTCACATCTTGATGTTCTGCTAGCAGGTCTCAGCTCAGATGGCCATGGCTGCACCGGAGGCGGCTGTGATTGCTGGCAAAACAATTATGGGGCCAGCTGGTTGTGAGCCAGAGGGTGACTACCTGGAGGACCTGATTGGCGAGAGACTTGACGATGTCATCGCAGAGTATGGGGACACCATGGCGACGGGTGGCACTGGTGGTGGTGCATATGGGATGCCTGACCATGAAACCACGTGGTGCACCGCCATCACTGCTCACCAGATGCGGGCTGAGCTTGCTGCAGTGAAACAAGCTGCCAGGGCAGGTGCAGTGAAAGAAGCAGCCAAGCTGGGCAAAGGTGGCCAGCAGGGGCCAGCATGGAAGAGACTGCTGGGGAAGTGCAAGGCGGTGGGTTAGCAGGGATGCAGCAGGATGCTGGAGTTGACAATCTTTGTGGCCTGTAATAGATGGCTCGGTGGCATATAGAGAAATGTATGAGGTCAGGCATTACTACTAATGCACACACTTAAGTCCCTGGAGGTTTACGGATTGAGACCTGCAAGGAGTGAAGTTCATAGTTATGATATTGATAATGGAAGGCAGTTGTGGTTCAGGAATGTAGTTGAGCTGCAGGTAATCCGGCTTACTCTATAGGATGCTACTGGTGGGTGATTTACCTGAGTGATCCACTGAAACATTGAGGTTTGTCACCTTAACGGTGTGGAGTGTTGGAGTACATACATTTATTTGTGATAGCAGACTTGGAGTCTGGAGCCCACATATTGATGGGTTGCTGGTCATGACTTATAAGCCCACACTGAACAACTTCTGAGATGTGTGCAAAACATGGGCCAGGGGTGGTCATGGAGTGCAGTGTATGAGTCATGTAAACAATGTAAAACATGTGCCAATGTGGTCATGGAATGCAGTGTACGAGTCATGTAAACCAAGCAAAACATGGGCCAGGGTGGTCATGGAATGCAGTGTACGACTCATGGAATGTGTGCAAAACATGGGCCCGGGTAGTCATGGAGTGCAGTGTACGACTCATGGAATGAGTGCAAAACATGGGCCAGGGTGGTCATGGCCTGCATTGTTGCATCATGGAATACCATGCGCAATATGACCTGGTCATGTTCCGCATATTTATGAGCAGGTACATGACCACCTTTATGACCTCATGGGGTCATAAAGTGCAGCCATGACTGAATACGGTCATATTGCGGTCCCATGACCTGTCATAAATCCCATCATAAATGACACCATGACCACGCATTTCATGACCCCAACCAGTCATATCCTGCACTTGCTTATGCAAACTATGAACTGATCCATGACCGGATCCATGACTTAATGACAAATTATGACCGGATCCATGACCACATACATGACCAAATCCATGACTTAATGGCAAATTATGACCGGATCCATGACCGCATCCATGACCAAATCCATGACTGGAAAACCCATCCATGACCAAGTCTTTCCCCGAGTGCCCCCGGCCTCTCCGGGCCCCGACCCGCGAGTTAACACTCGTGTCGGCTCCCACACACCACGGGGCTGCTGCCCCCCGGCCTCTCCGGGCCCCGACCCGCGAGTTAACACCCGTGTCGGCTCCCACACACCACGGGGCTGCTGCCCCCCGGCCTCTCCGGGCCCCGACCCGCGAGTTAACACCCGCGTCGGCTCCCACACACCACGGGGCTGCTGCCCCCCGGCTTCTCCGGGCCCCGACCCGCGAGTTAACACCCGCGTCGGCTCCCACACACCACGGGGCTGCTGCCCCCCGGCCTCTCCGGGCCCCGACCCGCGAGTTAACACCCGCGTCGGCTCCAAACCACCACGACCTTCCCGGGCCCACGGGCTGCGAATTACCTCTCACACCCGCACCACACTACACCCCGTTACTTCTCCTTGCACTCTTTGGCGAAGTGCCCAGGCTTATTGCACTTGAAACAGACACCCGCCGCCGTCGCCTGCTTCACCCCGGCCCCCGCGCCAGAGCCGGCCGGCACGCTCGCGGGTTTGGCCTGCTTGGGCTTCTTGCCCGCCACCGCCTTCACAGCCTGCTTCAGCGCCTTGCGCTCCTCCTCCGTCTCTGCGTATGCCATGCCACGCATCTCATGCACGACCTCCCAGCCGTGGTTGTATGCCACGACCAGCTCCTTCGCGACCCCCCGGAACACGGCCTTGCCGTTGATGATGGCAGTCTCCATGGCCTCGATGTTCCTGAAGCGTTCCTCGCCGGGCCGAGCCGCGAGGACGTTGCGCCACGCGTCCTCAATGTCCATTACCACATTGTAGCATTTCTCGATATGCGTGCGCTGTCCGCTGAGAGACTTGTTCGCTTTGCCCTCGCTGGCGCCGAAGTCACATTTGAAATCCTCAAGGGCAACACGGGCCCGCTTCGCCGGTGGACCGTCGACCGCCTGCACGTCAGGCTTCGTGTCCATAAGCTTCTTAATGGTTGTCAGCTGCAGCTTCACGGCGTCAGCTGGTCCA